CATTCAGCACACAAACTTTCATTAGATGTAGATTCTTCTTTTTGAACTGTTCATTCGCTGGCACCTGGAGTCTGATGTGCACTGGTGCTCAACAGAGCTGCTCCAGGGATGAACAACTCTCACTGATCTATTAGCTATTCCGGTGACGGAGACGCTTCTAACTGCTCCCTCTTAAGCACACTTCATGGCGAGCAAGGCCATCAGTCAGAGTGTCCATCATCTGCTCATTAGCTGATTAGCTGCCACTCGCTCCAAGTGGTTTATTTGTCCTTCCTTCCTTCCTTCCTTCCTTCCTTCCTTCCTTCCTTCCTTCTTCCTTCCTTCCCTCCGTCCCCCCCTCCTTCCCTCTCTCCCACCATTCCTTCTCAAGATAGTTTTATTATTATTTTTTTATTAATGTAGGAGTACTGCTGTTTATTCAGCCACTGATTAGCTGATTGAATTGTGCATAACTCCACCTTACTTTTTCTCTTTCATTTTTTATAATTTTCTTTATTGAATCACTGTGAGAGCAGCTACAAAGCTTTAGGGTTTATGTCTTGGTCATACAATGAAACACCCATACCTTCACCAGTGCCCATTCTCCATCACCAAAAACCCCAGTATACCCCCATCCCACACCCTCCCTCTACCTGTGGGGCAGATGATTTCCACATTATACTCTCTCTACTTTGATTACATTCAATATTTTGACACCTGACCCACCATTATTATTTGGGATTTTACCCCAACACTTGGATATGCCAAAAAGGCAACCATAGGCAATTTGTTTTCTATTGCTGGTTATGAATAACATGATGTTGCGCAGCTGCAGCAGTGACCGCACAATTTTGGAATTCCAAAATTTCAACAATTAAATCTGGAGGAATTTATGCCAAAACCTGCTGGGTTCCAAGATTTGTTCCTGAGTCTCTGGGATCATGGCTCTTTAGTAGCTTGATCAGGAGCCAGAGAGGCCCTTCATGGGTAGCAACTTGGGGTCTCATTGGGATGGGAAGGAAAGGGCCGGTTCCATCCCCATCCCATGAGGCCATGCATGTCTCATCACTGTGGGCCCAAACCTGACTGTCCAGTAGCCCTTGGCGGATGGCAGCCACTGAGCCGTCAAGGGGGAGCAGGTGGAGGGACAGCACCCTTTCTCCCCTGGGGTGGCCAAGCAGCAGTAACCTACTTCAGGGTCCGGACGCATTTCTGCCAAAAGCCCCTGGGTTTCGATATTTGTTTCTGAGTCTCTGGGATCATGGCCATTAAGCAGCTTGATCAGGAGCCAGAGAGGCCGTTCGTGGGCAGTGACTTGGGGTCTCATTGAGGCGGGGAGGAAAGGGCCAGCTGCACCCCCATCCCGTGAGGCCCTGTGTGTCTCATCACTGCGGGTCCAGACCTGACTGTCCAGTGGCTCTGGAGGATGGCGGCCACTGGGCTGCCAGGGGGAACAGGCCAAGGCATGAAACCTATTCCCACCTGGGGTGGCCCGGCGCTGGTAACCTATTGCAGGGACCGGATGCATTTCTGCCAAAAGTCGTTGGGCTTTGAGATTTGTTTCTGAGTCTCTGGGATCATGGCCGTTAAGCAGTTTGATCAGGAACAAGAGAGGTCATGTCTCTAATTATATAGCTGAGCTGGAGGTGGTTTGTGGGTGTGTCTCCCACATACCTAACTTTTGGCCATTTACTTTCTTGGTAAACTTTGCCCCAAGTTTCTGGGGTCTGGCCAAAGGCACAGCAGAAATTTTGGGGTATCTGGAAGTCTGACGGTGCCATCAGGCTGCTGATGCACTCACCTCACAGATACAGATTGACCAGCTGGTGGTACCACATGCCTGGCCAAGATAGTTTTAGTAAAAAAAGTTTTTAGAAATGTGAGAGGAAAAAGTGATGCATAATCCACAGAGAACACAGGTTTCTCCAGAATGGAAGCAGCCCAAAAGTTCATCTTAGGTTTTGGGTCACACTCGGTGATGCTCAGGTTTTACTCCGGGCTCTGTACTCAGGGATCACTCCTGGCAGGGCTCGGATGAATAAACGGGGTGCCAGAATCAAACCTGGGCTGTCCCCGTGCAAGGCAAGCACCTTACCTGCTGTACAATTTTGCCAGTTCCAACCAACAATTTATTTTAAAAGTTTCCCAACAGAGCCATGGCCACGGACCCTGAGAGCGAGGGGCGGCACGCAAGCACAGCAGTGGCGAGAGCGGGACACATGGGTGCTGAAGATGCTGTTCCCACCGGCATCTCCTGCTGCTCCAGGGTGGGTCTCTTCTCCTGGCTTCCATTCACATCAATCAGGGATGGGGACTCTTTTTTTCCTGCCCAGGGCCAACTGGATATTTACAGCATCATCTTTAGATGGTTCCAGCCAGCTGGGACATGGGTGGTCCATAAGAAGTGTTTGTCCCCATGGACATCTGACCCACCATTATTATATGGATCAGGGCCACACCATGTGGTCTCATGGGCATCGCAAGTCAGAAGCTCCTCATTCCTGAGTCTCTGACATTCCCCCTGCCCCAGCCTCCCTTCCACAGCACCCCCCTTTCCCAGACTCCCCAGAACGACGATGGGATGGCCCCTATCTGGGCTCTTTCACTAGGTCCTACTCGGGGTGGTCTTTGGGGGACTGACTGTATGTTTGCATATTTCATCTTCCCCAGGGGCACCCTAGACAACTGGAGACCCTCATCCACAGGGCTGCTTACTTAGGCCAGTGGACTCACGGGGTCCGACATGGGTTGTCATGGCAACCACATTGTGGCTGGTTCTCGAGAGAAATGGTGAATCGAATCCTCCCTCCGAGAATGTCATTAGACCCCGGTTCCAGATTGATTTCAGCTTACTCATCATTACATTTTTTTATTGCTCAGATTAAATAGTGTCCTGGTCTCTGCAAGAATAATTTCTCATTAGGCATTATTTAAATTAAATAATATTTAAATGGAAACCAAGGACATTCTGATTAGTACATAGCTAGGAAACAGAAACTGGTATTTATTGATGCACACACAGAAGATTCCTCTAAATCTTTTAAAAAAAACATTATGTTGTCATGAACATATACAATGAGAAAATTTATAGTGGTTATCAAGATTTCATTTGAATATTCTAAAAAATATTGAAATAAAATTTCTTGCCATGAACCCAGAGTTAACGAGAGCGAGCAAATGTGAAAAACACCAGCTTCTGACTTAGACAAAAAAGATTTTTTTTTTAAAAAAAAAGTATTTTAAGGGACTGAAGAGATAGTAGAGCGGGCAGGCCACTTGCCTTGCATGCAGTTGACCCAGGTTTGATCTCCAGCGTCCCAAATGGTTCCCCCAAGCACTGCCAGGACTGATCCCTGAGTACAGAGCCAGGAGTTACCCCTGAGAATCTCCAGATGTGACCAACCCCCCCCCCAACAAACATACAAACAAATGAATAAAATTTAAAAAGTATTTTAATGGTTAGAATTCCCATAAAAAGATGCATTCTGCCCCCACCCCCATCACAATGATGGCTTCAAAACTTCAGCGCCTGCCAACTAACTCTAGAACACACGGACCCCGCTCCCCAGAAAGAATACCTTTGTACCAGAAACAGGTAATTCACATTCTGATATAGAGCAAAAGACAAGTGCTTTATTATGAGGACTGTTCAAGTAGAATTTCAGTGTGCACCAGTAAAAGTGAATAATGATTTGCATCCATTTTTTTTTTAATGAACACGAGGTTAATAAGGGGCTACACAGTATTTTTTCCCCCTAAACACCATCCACTGGTAAGGCAAAAACATTTCATTTTTGAACAGAACTGTTTACAGAAGAAAGTTACAGCACAGCATGGCACAGAAAGGAAGATATCCTTGTGCGGTCCCCAAGGCCGGGGGCTCTTGGAGGGAGATGACAGCGACCGTATGGACCTCAGCCTGATTCTTCTTTGAGACGGATACAATCTGAATCGGCATTCCCTCTCTGGGGAGCACGCAGAGGGCCGCACTGACAGGACAGTGATCGCAGTCTAAAGTGACATCACGCAGCCAGCCTCTGGCTCTGCAGGGAATGAGCAAGCACTGGGGAAGCTGACTCTCGCTTTCCATCGCACGGCTCACGCATCAGCAAAGAACAAGCCAGCAAACGCCGCTACAGAGCTGCAGAGTCGGCGTAAGGATGTGAAGAAACATAAGAAACCCAGTAGAAGACCGCAAAGAAGCAGGTTAAATAGGAACCCAAGGGGCCGCCCGGAGGCGTGGCGAGTTAGTGTACTGTGATAAAGAGCACGTTTTCTTCAAAAGTCTCTTAAGAGCTTTCAGCTGTTACGGAGTTGGGGTGCACGGGGGTGGGAGGCTCCCAATGGCAGTTAATTCCTGAGGCGGCTTTCCCCATCTGCTCTGCCCAGAAGGGTTTGTGCTATGAGACAGCCCTGATCCCTCGGCTCTCCCCAGTATGCTCTGGGGTCACAGGGCAGCAAACTGAGCGAGACGCGGCACCTCACAGACAGGGCACCCAGCAGCTCCTCATGCCACTGCTATGATTAGCAGAGGACCAGGAAACACTGGGTATGATTCAAAGTTCCAAACTGCAGGCTCCCTAGTACTTCTAAGCTCAAGGCAAAGCTACCATTATTGTCAGGTACTTCATTTTTAAAAACTCTCAGTGCCAACACTGTAAACATTTGGTGTCTTCCCAACTAAACCTTGTCTGGTAACAGAGATAAGAGTAAAGATAGAGCAGGGGTTATTCTGTGTCTAATACAGCCGATCTACTCATCAGCTTCTGGTTTCAATTGAAATAGGATTTTGGAATACATTTTTAAAGTCCATGCTACACTGTAGATACAATTTCTGTGAACTTTGGTTTTTTTTTTTTTGCTTTTTTTTGCTTTTTTTTTTGTTCTGGACACAATTTTCAAAATGGCATTGATGGAGGTCAGAATTCTTAAAAACCCACTGGAATGGGAAGAGCAGGGAAGAACATTTTCAACTCAGAGCATCAAACATACATGGGGGTGCAGAAATCTCGACAACTATACGCGGTTTGAAGCAATCATCTGTTTTATTATACAACTCTATGAACAGAAAATGAACAAAAATACACAATATACTTACCTGTACATGTGAACCTACATTTTGTTGTAGCTACAGATATTTATTATAGTTCATGGGGACTTGAATCGCACAGTTCATGACTATGTATAACCTTATTGCATTGGGGGCGGGTTCTGCAGCGGGATGCCTTGCCCATCCCAAGGCCGGACCTCCCGGGCGTCCCCGCCCTAGAGCTTGAGCTCGTTGGCCACCTTGGAGGCGATGTTCTTGAAGGCGATGGACGTGCCCGAGATGCGCTTGAAGCGGACGCCGTTGAGCGAGAGGCGCGGCAGCTTGCACACCTCCATCTCCCACTGCACCAGGCTGTCCTGCCGGGCGTCGCCGTGCACGCAGAAGAGCAGGAAGCGCTCCTTCTGCTCGTAGTCGCAGTTGTTGGCATCCAGCACCTTGCGGATCTCGCGCATCATGTCACTGGGGTCCATGGAGCTCGTGGTCTTCATGCTCCACGTGAAGCGCAAAGAGCGCGGCTTGGAATCTTTGCCCTCGTCCCTGTCACGCTCCTTGGGCTCCCCTGATGTACTTCTGAAGGGGGGGAGGGAGAGAGGGGCACAGGATGCGCTCAGTGGAGGGCAGAAGCACACTGCTCGCCCCCCTTGGCTCGGTGCTCTGTGCACCTGCCTTGCTCGCAGGTAAGATTTCTGCCACCCTCTCATAAAAACAGGTGCCCAGGGCTGGAGAGAGGAAAGCAGGGAAGGCGCTGGACTGCATGCGGCAGTCTGGGCTTGATCCCCAGCATCCCCAAGTACTGCCAGGACTATGTCCTGAGAGCAGAACTAGGAGTAACCCCTGAGCACTGCCGGCGTGGCCCCAAAACAAAACAACGCTCCCCACTAAAAACATAGATGCCCAGAGGTTTGAAAGAGTACAGTGGCTGGGGCACTTGCTTGTACGCGCCGACCAGGGTTCAATCACCGGCACCCCTATCAGCTCCTAAGCACTTCAGGAGTGACGGGTGAGCATAGTAAGCCCCAAGCACCGCCAGGTGTGTTCCCCAGGCCAACCAATCAAACAGAAACACCAGCTTCCTGGACATGGGCTACGCTAGCTTTCACTAATACCACCACCTAAAACCATCTGTTTTCTTAAATATATTTGGTTCTGGAAAGTAAGTCTGTGGATGAATGTAGAAGAACTTAGCATTTTTTTCAGTTCCTTCCCTATCTTTAACTTTGCAAAAGGAAATTTTCTATTTTCAGTGCAGGCACACAAAATAGGCATTTGGGGTGGGGGCATTTGGGAGCCTGGGGCCACTCCTGGGACACTTGTCCAGCTGAAGCAGTTTGATGCTCGGAGTAACCCCTGAGCACTGCCGGTGTGGCCCCAAAGATGGCCCCTGAGATGATGCCAGAGGCTGCTAGAGCCACAGCTGACCTATGTTTGTGGGTCGTGTGGTCCTGGGAATGTGACTCGGGGCATTGTGCCTGCAAGACATGCGCCCTAACCCCGGCACTATTTCTCTGGTCTCTAAGTAGAGTTCTGTATAAGGACAATTTTATTTTTTTGGTGGGGGGTCACACCCAGCGATACTCAGTGGTTATTCCTGCTCTGCACTCAGGAATTTATTCTAGTAGTACTCGGGGACCATATGAGATGCCGAGGATTGAACTCAGGTCTGCTGTGTGCAAGGCAAACATCCTGACCGCTGTCACTCCGACCCCAGGGAAATATTTTCTTTTCTGAGCTGGGAGAGAGACAAGAGACTGGTGAGTAGTAACGGCTGCAGGGGGCTTAGTTATCCTGAAATGCAGAGGTGAGGCTTGTGATGCCAGAGTCAAGGTGAGGGCAGGGGGAACAGGCGGTTCAACTCTGTGCTGGAGGCAGGTTCACTGGGACCAGCATGCCCCCATCCCTTCCTCCAGCTCCTGCCATGCTCCTCAGGCCATGGGCGCCCCGATTATTCCTGACAGAAGGACAGAAGTCTTGCCAGAGGCTCCCCGAGTGGTCTCCACTCCTGCAGGCAGGAGCACCCCTCCCCGAGCTCTGCCCGACCTTCTCTGCGCGGCTCAGTGCTCTCACATGCTACAGTCCATGGCATGCCCTGATGCACAAACGAAAATCTCTCCATTTAGGAGGTCTGTTTTCTTGTCTCCATTTGCCCACTCAGCTGCACATTCCAGAGGACCAGAAGTTTAGCTGTGCGGTTTGTGGCCGGACCTATGCTGGGGACATGGGTGCTGGATGCTGTGCATGGGGCAGGTCTGACCCTTCTGAACCTTCCCTTCTTGAAGGTCTCCCAGAATAATCTAGAAGCAGATAACCTATGCTCAGTAATCCAGGGAGGTAAAATAAATCGATACTTTGATTCAGAAGACCCTGGAATAAGATTTGTTGAGTGCCCTACCTCTGTGCGATCACTCCCAGTCCTCTATATAAAATTTTATGTATACATTTATGTGTGCACATATGCACATTTACATCCCCACACTTCAAGGTATTGGTGGCCCTCAGACCTGCAAACCGTGCAAAGCCCGGGGGAAAAAGTAAGGAAAAGAAACAGGAGAGAAAATGAGTCTCCGGGATTCTCTAGCAAGTGGGGGCCATCTTTATTTCAGTCTTCTCTGCTGCTCTTTCTCCCCGTGAGCCGGGAGGGACCTGGGTGACACAGGACCCCAGGCGCAACTGAAAAGCAGTGTTGACAGCCAGGAACTGCAAACGCTTCTCTCAGGCCCCAGAGACACTGAACTGAGAGTGAGGCCTGGCTCGGGTCTGTGGGGTCCCGCGGTTGTTCCCCAGAGGGGAACGCCTGCAGCCTTGTCCGGCCCTGCCAGTGACAGGGTCCTGAGCCTGCCCCAGCACGCCCAGGACGTCAGACGGGGCGCCGGGACCCTGAGGCTAGCAGGACCCGGCCAAGAGCTGGGGCTGCTCAGGGTCGCCTCAGTTAAGGGCCAGAATCCTGGGCATGGTGCAGTGCCCCCCACCTGACCCTCAGAGCCTCACTGGTCCTCCCTGTGTAAAATGAATGAGTGCCAGGGGACAGCAGCAACAGCCCCGGCCCCCAACAGAAGGACACAAGCACAGCACAGACACAGACACAGAGACACATAGACACACAGACAAACAGACACAGACACACACAGACAGAGACACACAGACAGACCAACAGACACAGAAATACAGAAATACATAGAAATACACAGATACACAGACACAGAGATACAGAGACTGACCAACAGATACACACACACATACAGATACACACAGGCACAGACACACAGAAACACACAGAGATACAAAGACACACAGACACATACACACATGACACAGACACACATAGACACACACATGCATCCACAGACACAGACACACACAACTGTGCTGCGCTGCCTGGGTGCTGTGCAGACTGGGCTGTGTCTCACACACGGGGCCTGGTGCCCACTCACCTTGAGGCGTCAGTCCTGCCACTGGCTTCACCTTCACTTGGATCCCTCAAAACAAAGTCAAGGTTGAGAGTTAATGATGAAAGTGAGAAGGTGATCAAGAGCTCCCGCAGCTAAAGCCATCTCATAATGAACCATCATGCAAAGTCTAGTCAGTCCCCAGCCCCCGAAGGACACTGCCTGCATCTTCCTCTGGCCACAGTTACCCAGGGCCCAGGATGTGCCTACAGGAGGCTGGGTGAGGGTGGGGGCCAGGTCTAGGTTATTATTCTTTTTTTAAAACACAATTTTCCAATTCCTGGTCATGACTGCCATGGCACAATTGATCTTTTGCTTCAGTCTAGTTCAATCAATCTACAGTTAAGACTGTTTAATTACTGTTAGCAGCAAGATTCAACTTCAGAGGGTGTTATTCAAAGTAAGTCAAGCAGTGGCTCAATTTAGAATGTGCAGAAACCAACCTTGAAGTTGGAGACAAAGCGCAGATATAAATATTTAACTCATATATAAATACTTCTAAAAATAAACAATTTTTAAGTAAGCAAGGGACTTATTTCCTAGGATATACGCAAATCCTGACATGCATATGGCAGAACTAGCAAACCAAGAGCCCCGTCTAAAGACGTGGATTAAGTCCCCAACAAGAACACTGCTCTTACCTGCGGAGCAAAACCAGCCAACTTGACTGACTGTCCTGGCATTGAATGCAATGAATATTTTTCAAGTCCACCAGAAAAGTAGTAATTTTTGTCATTTTTCAAGGGCAACAACATAGCTTTGTAGCAGTGGGAAGACCCCTTGGAGATGGGGTGGTGTGTGACAGATGGTAAATACGATTAGACAATCAAGCTCTTAATCCCTGAGCACTGCTCCTGAGCACTCACTCAGTTCTGCAGGAGGAGCGGGAGGAGCAGCCAGAGCAGCTTTCCTCACCCCCATCCGGGTCAGAGCACAGCTCCACACCCGCAGCCGTCCGAGACGGGAGCGGGGGATTCTGGCCGCCCCGTGTTTCTCCGACTTCACACCGGAAGCCTTTCATGGTAAATGGACAGTACAAAGCCCACATTCCCACCCGAACTGTGAAGGATAATGAAATGTGCTCTCACATTTACCTTACTTTCTTGGTGTGTGCTCGGGGGACATGGGTTGTGGGGATCTCAGGGAAAGCATATGGGATGTGGAGGTCTCAGGGCATCCCGGGGGTGGGGGTGTGTCTGGGCAAGGGGCCAGCACTCAGGTTCCACATGGGGGATGTGTCTCGAGGGGCAATCTCTGTATGTGTTTGGGAGTCAGGGTTCAGGCGGGGAGTCCCATTTCTCAGGGCTGTGAACCCTGAATGAAGCAAGCCAGGAAGGAAGAGGGGAGAAGGAATAGCAGAACCGAACAGACCGGCAGGCAGCACCATGCCCTGAGCCAGCACCCAGGTTGGGGCAGTCTGGATGCCAAGAGACCATGCCAGCAGCTACAACTACACATGGGTCCCGTCCCCGATGGCCGGGCACAGCACTGGGCGGGCCCCCCTGGCTCTGAAGCCAGTGCTCCGCTGCTCCTCCTGTGTGTGGGAGACTGGAGGGAGGGGGTGGGTTACAGGACTGCCCTATGCTGCTGAGACCCCCTGAGACTCCTGTCCCCAGAATTACGTGCTATGGGACAGTCATGCTAAAGCTGACCACATGGGGGGCACTGATGTTTCTTTCTTTCCCCCAGCCAAATCCAGAAACAACTAGAGCACATTTCATTTGCTTTATCATCTTTAGGGCTCCCAAGCGGGGAGCTCTGAGACTCAGGGCCCCACCTGCGGTTCTCAGCCCACTGGGCGAGTAGTTTGATGTGAGGTCCCAGGGGTGCGGTGCTGCTGAGTCCCACATCCAGGCCACCCTGGGTGCTGAGGGGCCTGAGGGCTTCACCCAGTGTTCTGCAGGCCACAGTATGCTGAGAATCAAAACCAGCTGGGGTGATGGGCATGCACACTGCCCTGCAACCAAGAGGAGTCATGGCTGGTCCCTCAGGCCCCAGTCAGCCTGGGGTGCCCAAAGGGTCGACCTCCTAGACAGCAGGATGCCTCCCAGGGTCTCAGCTGGGTCAGTGTGGTGGCCCCAGGCGCTGAGCCGAGACGTAGGACTCAACCAGCCGGCAAGTGCGGTGGCGAGTGCAAGCAGGCTGTGGCTCAGCACACGCGGGCCACTTCCTAAGAGAAGGCACTGTGGGCGTGCAGGTGGGGAGTTCACTGTCCTGCTCAGTCACGTTCAGTCCCAGGCTGTGAAAGCCTGGTAGCCCTGAGAGCGTGCGTGATTGCCATGGCTCCAGTCCACGGGCTTTCTGGAAGAGGAAAGGGGCAGAGACGTGATCGGGGCCAATGGGGACGCACTCAACATCACCTGAAGGGCACATGAAACTCTCATGTAAATCCTTCTTCTTGATCCAGGATTTAAAGAAGGGCAGCCTTTTGGTGAAAATAGCCTGTGTGCTGTCATGCTTTGCTCTTCATGGCCTTAGTTACAGAATTACTATTTTTTTTTCTTTTTTTGGGTCACATCCAACAATGCTCTGGGTTACGCCTGGCCTTGGACTCTGGAATTACTCAGGCAGTGCTTGGGGGATCATATGGGGTGCCAGGGATCAAACCCGGGTCAGCCATGTGCAAGGCAAACGTTCATACCTGCTCTGGCCCCACTAAGTTACTGATTTTTTTTTTCTTATTGGGTCACACCTAGCGATGCACAGGGGTTATTCCTGGCTTTGCACTCAGGAATTACTCCTGGCGGTGCTCAGGGGACCATATAGGATGCTGGGAATTGAACCTGGGTCGGCCGTGTGCAAGGCAAACGCCCTCCTGGCTGTGCTATAGCTCCAGCCCCAAGTTACAGAATTTTCAAACTCTCATTTTGTCTACTTTCCCCCCTTCTCTTGCTTAAGAAGACGTCTGTCTTGCTTTTCTTGTTTGTGTCTTTTCCTTTTGGAAAGTCGCCGTCAGCTGGCCTTGCAGACCCTTGGAGAGAGAAGCCCCTGGTACTGACCTGCGGACGAACTTGGACGTGATCTTGCTGATGATGCCCGTGGAGGTGCCCCTCCGGGCATGCGCGAAGGCGCCGGGCTCATGCGAGGGCGAGGCGGGCGGCCCGTTGTAGGCGGCGCCGCGTCGCTCCCGCAGCTGCTCGCCGTGGAAGGTGCTGCGGCTGGAGCTGCCCCGCGGGAAGCGCGTGCGGTCCGGGGTGCTGGCGCTGATGCTGTGCGCGGACGGGGAGGCGGCGGGTGCGCGTGGCACAGCGCTGTGGACAGACGGATGGACGGACGGACGGGTCAGGGCAGCTCAGACACACGCCCGACGGCCACCCCGGCCCCGCCTGCTGGGACCTGGGACCCCAGCCGCCCCCCGCCCCTACTCCAAACCCGACAAATGCAAAGTCCCTGGAGATGAAGCCACGTCTGAAGCCTGAGTGGCGACCCGGGCCGTTCCTAGCCCCTCAAACCATTTCGCACCATGATGTGCCCAAAAGTCAGAGTCACACTGTTCTAGGCTGTGACCGTGGCTAACAAACCTAAGCTTCCAACATGCTCCTGGCCCTGAGATATCCCAAGAGAACCAACCATCGGTCCTCTGGACCTTGACGGGCTTGCTGGGGCATCCACTTGGTGGAATGAAAAGGCTGCTTTGATGAAGACCAGGTGGCGTGACTGGTCTCAGCTCTGGGTCTCCTGACTGATTCATTTCAACTGACCAACATTAAATTCTGGGCACGGGGTGGTATTTTAAAAATTTTTTTTTCTGGGCAAAAAAATAAAAAGGGTAATTCTGGGCCCGGAAGACAGTATAGCAGAAAGGGCACTCACTGGACACATGGCAGACCCGGGTTTGATTCCGCCTCCTCAAGCACCACCAGAAGTGGTCCCTGAGTGCTGGGTCAGGAGTAAGTCCTGAGCATCACCAGGTGTGGCATTCCTCAACCCTTCCCCTCAAATTTACTTAGATGACAAATTAGGCAGCAATACTTTTATAGCTGGATTTCAAATAAAATCCTTAAACTACCCCATGAAAATAATTTTAATTGCAAAGCAGTATTAGGGATCCGCACTGGGGATTAGTGGAGTGACAGTCCAGCTTTTCTCCTGACATTAATGCTGGATCTTTCCAGAAAACTCTCCAGGGCAAGGTGACTGACTGTCCTGTGCCAAACAGTGCTCTGTATTTTAAAATACATAAATAAATAGATAAAATAATGTCTGGTGGTCGGCAGAAAGATGGAAGACAATGCATTACCCAGGCCGGTAAGCTTCGGCGCCATCCTTGATGGCCGGCAGTGGCACCTTGATGGGGTGGCTCGAAGCAGACATGGACTTCTGGTGGCGGGGACGTGCGGAGGGGACAGCAGACGCTACGGCAGAGCCCGCAGAGGAGATGCTACTGGCCGACATCTCTGTGAGGCTGGGAGAGTACGTGGGGAGACCGAGGCAATGGAAGAGAGGAGAGGCAGTTTACTCTAAGAAGCAGATGGTTACAAAGCCTCAAATGACTAACTTCTGGGGTACATGCGGGTACATGATTAGAGAGCAACAAAACAGTCTTGCAGGGAGGTTTTTCTCTTGTTTTCCTTGTTTGGGGGCCACACCCAGGGGTGCTCATGGGCTACTCATAGCCTGGTGAGCCAGGGGCCAGGGAACCTTACGCGGTACTGGGGGTTGAATCTCGGCCTCCCACAGGAAAAGCACATGCTCCAGCCCACAGGGGTCTCTCTCTGGCACCAACGCTCCCACTGAAAATGTACAGGCTGGACTGATTGACCCCTACCCCAGGAAAGCTCCCACGGACTCGTCTGTGAACTGGAGAAGGTGGGAAATTATTTTCGTGACTGGAAACTAGCACAGGAGACCCTGTGCATTTTTCCAGAAATCAGTTTGCTGCGCTGCGTTGCTGTGGGTTATTCTGTGTCATGCAGCAGAACATTCCTAAGTAAAAGCAACATCCCTGGGAAAATCAGCAGATGCTGTCAGTTTCCAACCACGATCAATAGATTCATAAGGTCAGTGCTGTGGAGTATGAGCTGTGGGTGAGAGTCTGCAGGGCTAACGCGGAATGGGAAACCAACCCCAGCATCCTTGGAACCCTGAGGAACTTGCAGTTGAGGAGAATGTGCTGAGCCGGGAGACTTAAAGCACACATTGTTGACACAGTTACCGGGTGACAGGAAAGGGAAGTAAGTGGGGCCTGTAGGTACCCACTGTGATCACAGTGGCAGACAGTGAGGTTTGGGTCACAAGGAGCCAGAGAGATAGTAGAGCAGGGAGGGTGCTGGCCTTACACACAACCGACCCATTTTCGATCCCAGGTACCTCATATGGTCCCTGTGGCCACCAGGAGAGGCCTGAGCACAGAGCCAAGAGTAAGCCTGAATACAGCTGGGTGTGCCCCCCAGACAAAATAAGACAAAAATCCGGGTTATGAGGATCGGGTGCGGGTGGGTTGGGTTTTTTGTTTCAGTCCAAGGCTTTCAGGGCACTTTGGAGGTGAAGAGATTCCCCACATTTTCCTGAACTATTTCCCACCTTCCACTTGGGCCAGGAAGGTGCCTAACGATGGCGCCTCCTCTTGGGGTCACTGTTGGGGAGAGCAGAGCGAGGGCACTCCTCAGCCGGACCCACCTGCTGTCCTTGCCATTCTGCAAGGCCACGTAGCGGTCTGCGGTCCGTTCACAGACGTAAGTGTTCCTTCTCGCCATGCTGCCCCCGGAATACACATTGTTCTAAAGAAGGAAAAAGATGGCAATCTAAACTCTCATAGCTCACTCTGGACAAGAACTGAGTGCTCAAAGAGGTAAAGGGGTATACACGGTAATCTTTCGGGTACCCATACTTAAAAGAGAGAGATAGAGATAGAGAGAGAAGGAGGGAAGGAGGGAGGGAGGGAGGGAGGGAGAACGAGACAGAGAGACAAAACGACAGAGACGGAGACAGAGAAAGTGCCTGCCATAGAGACAGAGCGGAGGGTGGAAGCAGAGAAACTGGGACATTGGTTGTGGGAAACGCACACTGGTAAAGAATGGGAGTTGAAGCACTGTATGATGGAAACCCAATCATGGTCAACTTTGTAACTGAATCTCACAGTGATTCAATTAAAAATAAAATTGATAAAGAAATTAAAATACTAATGGCAGGTTTTTTAAACGCAGAAATGGGAAATTCGGGGGGAGGTAGGAGGCCACATCCAGTGATGCTCAGGGCTACTCCTGATTCTGTGCTCAGGGATCACTCCTGGTGGGCTCAGGGGACCATATGGGGTACTAGGGATTGAACCCAGGTGAGCCCCATGCCAGGCAAGTACCCTCCTGGCTTTACTATTTTTTGGGTCCCATAAACCTAGAAATATAAACGAAGAGTAGAAGAAATAGTTCTGAAGTGGCAACAGCCTCAGGGAAGAGTCGACCGTGGCAGAGTCTGGGGCCAACCAGCCACCCCGCCACAAAACTTGGGAGGAGGAGGGGGACACGCCCCCTCCCACACCCTGGCTTCCGGCTGGGTTTCTGCTCATCCTAGCAGTACTGTGAGACCAGACACCCTGCAGACAGTGTCACAGGCAAGACAGGGGCACCCACCTCTCTCTCCCAGCGGAAAGCCCCCAAGCCAACACCTGCCCCGTGGCTGGGCATGGCCACCCCTGGTGGCTATGGCCAGGGCGGAGGGAGCATCACAGCCCAGCACGCATGAGCACCTCTTCGACGGGAGCCACTGAGAAGATGCTCCGCGTCCAGACACCAACCACCAGCGCGCATCGCGGCCGCGCACAGACTCACGCTGGGAATCGTGGAGGACTTTTTCCTCTCGGGCCCCACGAGCGGGCTGGTGGTCATCTCACTTTTGGAACCCACCGTCGTGCTGCCCAGCTTCCGCGCGAGGTCCTTGTCCCACTCCTCCTTCTGCTCACTCTCCACGCTGGTGGCCTGGGGCCGTTTGGTGTAGGAGACGGCAGGGGGGATGGCTGGACCAGCTGTAATTAAAAAAAGAAAAAGACTACTTAGTGAATAAATAATGGATATTAATTTTCTCACAAACAAAAATGATGAAAAATACCTCCCCACACTTTACACTCCGTGCTAAGATTGCATAGTTTAAAAAAAAAAGTTGGCAGCTGAAGGGTTAGTACAGCAGGAAGGGCACTTGCTTTGCATGTGGCTGATCCGGCTGTGATCCCCCACACCACACAGGGCCCCCAAGCAATACCAGGAGGGATCCCTGAGCACAGAGCCAGGAGTAACCCTGAGCATCGCCTGGTGTGCCTCCCTGACACCCCCTCCCCCCAACCACAAAATAAGCCCTGTTGTGGGCAAAGGGTTCACTATGGAACTCTGGAACAACAAATCCCTGATGTGTGGGGTGGCGCAGTGCAGAAGAGCCAAACGCCAAGGCCCGCGGCACGTGTCTGTGCCCGCGCCTGCTCCCCACCATGGTCGCTGAAGCGCCGTTGCTTCTGATTGGCCGAGATGCTCCGCTGGACCTTTAGGTGGGCGGGGGACTGTAGGGAGCTGTTGTTGAGGTCACTGCTGGGTCGAGACCGGGGACACAGGCTCCCGCTGGACAGCGATTCGCCGCCTTCGAACTGTTGGGAGAAGAGAAGCCATCAGGGACTGGAGCCAGAGGCAGAGACATCACTTGGCTCGGGGCGTCTCCAGCCAGCCTGGGGCATCACGGCAGGAGCCGGGCAGCAGCAGAGCCTGTTCTCCCCGCCAGCTGGCCTGGCCACCTCTGCAGAGGTCACCCTGTGCATCATGGGGACATGCTCTACGCTGTGTGCCCAAACATCCTCGATGGAAACAGCAGAGCTTCAGGGAGGCCAGGGACATTGTCAGGGGTCAGAACACGGGATAAAATCCAGGCCTGAGCTACACACACACACACACACACACACACACACACACACACACACACACACAACACACGTCTGCTGGGGCAACGGAGGTGCCCGCTGCAGGGAGATCCTGACTGCATCCCGGCACGCTGGCTTTATGTGCAAGATGCTTGTGACAGACCTACGGGATGTGCAGAGGACAGGCTGCTTGTGACACCAGGGTGCAGAAGCATTAACTTGAATCCCTCCGAGATGGCACAGGCTGGTGCTATTAGCTGCCTGCTCTAGACCAGGACCCTGAGGGCCTGATAAAGGAAGTCAGCTGCCAATGTCAGAGTTTAGTGGCCGAGCTGGGCTGTGGCCACCAAGGTCACGTGATTTGTGGTCAAAATAACTCAAGCTTTGCCTTAATTCTGGCCTGGGCCAGGTTCGTATGCTCACCAAATTAGTATTTCCTTGTGCTTTTCCAAGAAGAGGAAACCTCTCAGGAATGTCACCCTCAGGCTGGGGAGAAACGCTTCAGACGCAGCCACCGGTGTTTCCCACTTAAAATCCACCCGACTTGGCTCCTCTGTTGTGCCCTCCCCCCCATCCCCCCGCTCCCTCCGGCCCCTGCTGGCCAGTCAGTCCTCTCTTCCCAAGTGGGAAGCAGCGGCCTGGAAAGTGGGAGGAAGGCTGGACGGGTCAGTGTGTTGGTCCGAGCAGGGTACCAGTCCAGCTCACCATCCTTCCCCAGGCCCCCTCTCCTGCTGGACAGCCCAGAGCTTAGGAAAGGTACCACGTGGGCTAGAATTGGAGGCTCTGAGCCATCACGTCCCACAGGCTTGGAAACACCATCCACTCTGGTGGTTCTAAGGCCAAGCCTGGGCTGTGGCCTATTCTGAACGCCCAGAATCCCACAGTGTCAGGCCCGAGGGCGCCTGGGCCCTCCAGAAGAGGCTCCTGGAAACCATCTATCCTCTGGCCTCAGGACTTAGCTCAGCTCCTGCAGGGAACAGGCTCAGCGAGCTCTGTGGAACGCTCTCTTCCCCGGCGATGACTCTGATTATCATTAATTCCAGCCTGTTTATAAAACGCCTCCCACTGGCGTCTAATGTTCAACAAACCGGTACGCTGGGTTCTTTTTTGGGCACCGGGATGTGGGGGCTCACTTGGGTCACCCTCTGAGGTGCTAGGGGCTCTTTCTGGTTTGCTCAGGGGGGCAGATGGGCTGCCAGGGACTGACCCAGGCTGGGCCAAAGTGGCCACAGGTGAGGTGAATGTCGCCCCCTGTTCTCTCTCTTCAGCCCTGGGCTATTCTGGTCTCTTGCGCTTTACCTGCACCTTTGTTGCTTCCAAAGCTGCGCATAGGATCCAAAGTCCCATCACTATTGTACAGTTTTTTCCAGAACGTACCTCATTCTACGCCTCGCCTGGCCCTGGCAATTCCCAGTTGGATGGGCCAAAGCCCCTAGAGAGGACCAGACAGAATCTCACCAAAACCGCTTTCCCTGGGTTCTCACTCGGGTCAGAGAGGACACACCTTTCACTGCAGATGCTCTGGTGTACCCCTGCCAGTTACTACCTGAAACAAGCCCCCTCCTCTGCAGCAGGTTGGGGTGCAGTGGGGGTCATCCTCAGGCCAGCCTGGAAGAGCTGTCCCTGAGTCAAGGCCAGTGTCTCACTTGCTCCTGCCAAGTGGAAACTCTCTGGAAACCCAGAAGTGAAATCAGCTCAGAACTCAGCATCCTCTAATGGATAATGGATGTGTCGAGGTCTCCATGACCTTCTCAATACCACACAGGATATGGCTCAGCCCACAAAGCGATTCATATCAATGAGAAAAGGTGACAAACTCACTTCAGGTGGCTTTCTACCGAGAAGAATGTATGTAGCCATGACTTCATCATATTTCTGATTTATTAAGGCATCATTTATCTCATCTCGTGCAAAGCCCATGGTGACCATGATATCTAGAGAATAGAAAAAAAAAGCAAAGGTTCTGAAGATGGGATTTATTGGAGTGAGCAAACCCACAGTACGAAGCAAACCTGCCAACAGCTACGGAAGCGAAACATCAGAAACAGTACCCAGAGTCTGAGACACTGGCTCGGGAGCTCCCCGTGCAGGACCCCTCTGCGCCCTGGGCTGCCTAATTCCGAGTCCAGCCTACTTCCATCACCTTCCACATTCCTCGGCTGAGCTCCTCACCCAGCAGGAGGATTGTCTCTCCAGCAGCACATGCAGAGCTCCCCCAGCACCCCCCTCCCACCCTCCAGGCAGAAATGACACACTTCGAGGCTAGGGAGAGAAAGGGAGACACATAGGCTGGAAGCAGATAGAGTGGCAGGGGTCTGGGCGGGCGGGTGAGACAGGCAGGGACCAAGTGTCCACCTAGCACCTGCATTTCTGCTGAGAGTGCAGGATTCCTAGTCTGGGCTGATAAAGGAGTCAGATTCATAGGTATCATTCTAATTGAGTGTACATTATTCGAATTTTCACAAGACTGCTGTCAGTGACTGAATTAGGCTACACTCTAAGAGAAGAGTAAAGGATGTGGGTGACGTGATGTTTAGTGGATGCTGCTGGGAAAGATGATAATGAGAGCATTTTTCAGACGCAAGTTGCTTCCTGTGTAGGAACTCCTTCCGCAGGGCAAAGAAGCCTCAGTCAGAGCCCGGGGGTCACCAGCACACAAGCCCTTCCCCTCACCAACGCACTCACCTATCCTCTTTGTGTCATTGAAATCCGGTTCAGGCTCAGAATATGGCTTTAGTTCTTCTTCTTCATGACCAACATTCATCCATCGATCTTTCATTATTTGCTGGGAAAACAAAATGCTACCTTATGTTTGGCCAATCAGAACATTCAAACATTATTTTAGCTCTATTTTAAGAAATGTGAAGATCACTGGTTTGTTCAACAGAGTGCAGGCAACAGCCGTGGTTGGAAGGGTTGCTAAGATAAAAACCGAAGAGCAAAGAAAAGAAGAGAGAAGATGGCCAACACGACCAGAGAGGTGGTAGGAGCAGCTCTTCATGACAAGCTCACATTCTGCATCATTTTGACAGGCAGCATGGACCACTGGAAGGACTGGAAAAAAAAAATCAAAGGAGATAAAAAGAGAGGAAACAGGAGGAAGAAATTATATTCTTAGTAGGTAAAAAACCTGAGATATACCAGTATTCTAATAAGTAGGAAAAATAAAACCCCATGTCTAACGAAGTGCTCATGGCGGGGAGTCCCAGGGGCACCATCCCTGCTACCCAGTGCAGTGAGTGGGAATCACCACACCACACACACCAGCAAACAGGCCAGAACCGGCCAGAGATAGACATGACTACAGGACAATGAAACAGAGTGTGGGACTAATGTCAGTGATTGAAATTTCATGGGAAATAAATAAGATATCTCCCTTGAAGTATTCAAGAAACACCTTTAATAGTGCATATAAAGCCACAGGTGAGGCTCCAGCTGGAGGTGTGTGTGTCTGTAGGGGGGACTAGAGAGCAATTTTATGCAACAACAGAGTCAGCAGGGTTCACGTCAGAGTCTCTGAGAAAAACTGCAACAACAGAGAGTTCACATAGTGAAGACAGTCTTGAGCCTCACCAACAATAACTCAGGACACTCAAGAAATACCACGGGGGAAAAACAGACAAAAACTTCTACTCTGTTAAGGCAGGGAAATGCAACACAGTAAATAATCTCATAGCAAATGTACATGGTTGGTACAAATATCTAAGGCTGATTAATCCGACTTGAGTTTTGTTTTTTGGTTTTGGGCCACACCCAGCGGTACTCAGGGCTTACTCCTGGCTCTGTGTTTAGGCATCACTCTTGGCAGGGCTTGGAGAACCATATGTGGTGCTGGGAATCAAACAGGGCTGGCTGCGTACTATACTAAGTCATGACCCCTAACTGGACTTATTTAAGTAAAAAAGTAAGGGAATGGTTAAATTACAGATGAAGTATAGTTAATGTGTTAATTACAAATATTGATTACTGGGACACAGCGGGTAGGGTGCTGTATATAGTCAACCCAGGTTCAATCACTGAAACCCCCTCTGGTCCCCTGAGCTTGCCAGTAGTTGGCTGCTGAGTGTAGAGCCACGAGTAAGCCCTTAGCACCACCAGGTACGACCCCAAAACAAAAACAAGACAATCATTACCTACAATGAAAAAAATACAAATTAAAGCAAGGCTGGAGTGATAGCACAGAGGGAAGGGCATTTGCCTTGCATGCGGCCGACCCGAGTTCGAGTCCTCCGTCCCTCTCAGAGAGTCCGGCAAGCTACTGAGAGTATCCCGTCAGCACGGCAGAGCCTGGCAAACTCCCCGTGGTGTATTTGATATGCCAAAAACAATAACAACAAATCTCATAATGGAGACATTATTGGTGCCTGCTTGAGCAAATCAATGAACAATGGGAGGACAGTGCTACAGTGCAATAAACTGTACTACCACCAAGGCATCTAGTACTAGCAAATTCTCTTCAGTACTGAATCCATCTGAAGAGTATTGGTACCTTCCAATGTTGTGGTCCATGCTTAGCTTTTTTGGAAAGAATTTATAAGAACTATCATAGACACTTGGGTCTAGCAATTATGTTTTAGAGAATTTAAGCATGGCCGACCCAAGTTCGATTCCTCCGCCCCTCTCGGAGAGCCCGGCAAGTTACCGAGAGTATCTCGCCCACACGGCAAAGCTTGGCAAGCGACCCGTGAGGCATTCGCTATGCCAAACACAGTAACAACAAGTCTCATGATGGAGACGTTACTGGGCCCGCTCGAGCAAATCAATGAACAACGGGAGGACCGTGACCGTGATCTAAGCATATATCCCTCAGAGTGGGGAGAACATAAATCACATTGCTTTTAGCACAAACAATGAAAACAACTCAAAGATGCCATAGGCAGTGATGAACTAATAAACTATGATCTATATACCCCAGGGGGCTAGCATGGCCAGGGACAAGTGTGGTGCTCATCCTCCAAAGTCTGAACACAAGCAGACTCCTTTCAGTTAGAAGGAAATGATCCACTGTAGAATTGTCCACCGGGAGACTCCCATGTCCAACGTTTAGATTCGGCCTTCTGGAACTGTGAGTTACCATAGATGGTCTTGGTCGACATGATGAACTCAGTCTCTCACCCTGTTCGTTCCATTCTAGGCCATGGGTCCCGATGTGAAGTTCTTCAGCTGATCATCTCGGTCCTATCTTGGCATTAAAATCACCCACAATGATTTTGTAGAAGGTGTGGTTTTCTTAGAACTTCTCCTGCTCCATGTAGAACTCTCAATTTCTCTTTTACCATAATTAGATGTTGGTGCGTAGACAACGAAGATAGAAACTGCCGGCAGTGAGCCAAATCTATTCAAATGTAAATGTCCGATTCGGGTTGTTAGGCATTTGAATGAATCAATGCTCATGGCCAAGTTTGTATTGACAAGGACACCAACGCCTCCGACACCTCTTTTATCGCATGTTTCGAGGAACAATTCTTCTCCAGTGTCGAAAACGGCATGATGAGATTGGTGCCTTCTTGTCTGGGTCAGACCAATGATGTCGTACTTGATCTTCTGCGCTTGTACCATAAGATCCTCGATGGATGGATCTGATGCTAGCGTACGTGCATTGAAAGTACAGACGATAATTTTTGTCTTCCTTCGTTGTGGCAGCCTAGTTCGGCCTTGAGATTTTATTGGCCTCTCCTTTCTCATCCTTCTCAGTGCTGCCATGTTGGTGAAGCCTTCGGAGTCAGGTGAATGAGACCCACTGTAATTACTGGATGATTCCACAACGAAATAGAACACATCATATTCAATTGACGGTTTTGCCTGACTGATGTCGCTGTTGTCCCAAAATTCCAAACAGGATCGGACTACCGTCTCCTTCGTGCAAAATTCTACTTCACAGAGTGGGGAGAAAGGGCTGCAAAGTTCAAAAAGAGAACTCCCAGAATGACCACCAACTGGGAGCTCTTTGGCACTACTGTGGCAACATGGGAAGATGCCATTGTTGACAACATTGACGAGGAATACGATCAACTCGTTCAGCACCTCCATGATTGTGCGAAGAACGCCAAGAGAGAGATAGCCACAAAAAAATGCCTGTCTTCGAAAACTCTTGAGCTTATTTGCCAATGTGGTTTGGCGCATGCCTCAGGCAACCACAAGTGAACGTCTGAGCTCGCAAAGCAGTGCAGAGATGCGATCAAGGAAGACCTCAAAGAGAGAAGAGCAGAAGTGCTGGTAGATGCGGCAGAAGCTGGGAAAAGTATTCGTAACGCCTGCCTGTCCTTCGCCAACTACAAGACCAAGATGACTGCCCTCCGACATCCTGATGGATCTATCACATCCTCTAGAATGGCAATGGAGAAGATTATCCATGACTTCTACTCAAATCTCTTCGATAACCATGTCTACTTGCCGACATACCAAATTCCACAGGATGGATATGTCGTTCCCAATGTTCTCCCTTCTGAAATCCGACATGCCATTTCGTCAGTAAAGAAATGAACAGCACCCGGCCGAGACAAGGTCAGACCCGAACACCTGAAGAACCTGCCGTCAGTACTCATCAATACACTGGCTCAGCTCTTCACACGCTACCTGTCTGAATGCAAGGTTCCATCCCAATGGAAAACCAGCAGGACTGTACTACTGTTCAAGAAGGGAGACATCCACAACATTGGCAACTATTACCCAATCTGCCTATTGTCTGTCATCTACAAGTTGTTCACTCAAGTCATCCTAAATAGGATTGGCAGAACACTAGATGAAGGACAACCATGCGAGCAAGCCAGGTTCTGCAAAGGATTCAGCACCATCGACCATATCCACACAATAACCAAGCTCATTGAGGTTTCTCGGGAGTTCAAGATGCCGCTCTGTCTAATGTTCATTGATTTAAAGGCCTTTGATTCTGTTGAGACGGAAGCGGTCATTGAAGCCCTAGCCAATGAGGGTATTCAAGCTCAATACATCAAGATCCTCCGTGAGCTGTACTGTGGATTCACTACCAGGATCTCACCATTCTACAAAGAAGTAATCATCGATGTCAAGAGAGGGGTTCGGCAGGGTGATACCATTTCACCGAAACTCTTCAGTGCCACCCTCGAGAACATCATGCGACGACTGGAGTGGGAAGGAATGGGAATGAAGATAGATGGTCGGTAACTACACCACCTCCGCTTTGCTGATGACATTGTTTTAATAACACCAAATATCAGCCAAGCGGCACAAATGCTGGCCGACTTTGACCATGAGTGTGGAAAGGTCGGACTGCAGCTGAATCTTACGAAGACAATGTTTATGAGAAACAGCCTCATTCCTGACGCCCCACTCGCTCTCAACGGAACAACCATTTCCGAATGCAACAGCTATGTGTACCTAGGTCGAGAAGTCAACATGACAAATGACCTGGCACCCGAGCTGTGCAGGAGGAAGAGAGCAGCTTGGAATGCCTTCAAGAACGTCGAAGAAATAGCTAAGCGGACGAAGAACCTCCGGCTCTGGACACATCTCTTTGATTCCACTGTTCTTCCTGCATTAACATATGCCTCAGAGACCTGGGCCCTACGCAAACAGGATGAGAACGCTATTCGGGTCTCTTTCCAAAGAGGAATTGAAAGAGCTATGCTTGGAATATCACGTTTCACTCAAATGAGAGAAAGAATCTGGAGTTCCGACATCCGTCGACGATCAAGAATCAGGGATGCTGTCTTGTTTGCCAAGGTGTCAAAAATCAGATGGGCTGGTCACGTAATGAGATTTAAAGACAACCGCTGGACTAGAGCTGTTACCGACTGGATTCCACAGGATGTCAAAAGACCGCATGGCCGCCCACCTACCAGATGGTCAGACTTATTCATCAAGATCATGAATGATCGGTTTGAGGCTCTTCATGTTCCTAGAGTGAATAGACGCCATTGGGCTACACTAGCACGCGACAGGGACAAATGGAGACGTTACTGGCACCCGCTAGAGCAAATCAACGATTAACGGGAAGTCAAGTGATCAAGTGATAAAGTGATCCACTGTAACATGGAAACTTTGCTGCTATATGAACACGTCTATGTTTACACACCTAAGTCTGGGGTAGAAAAACAGCTCTTCTTTGTGTGTGCATGCCTGTGTGTTTGTGTGTATGTGTGTATTTGCTACCATGTAAACAAAAACGTTAGCATGAAAAATTGAAATGGACAGGTATGACAGGGGGACGGTACTTGCCTTGCACCACATATGATCCCCTGAGTCCATCAGGTGTGATTCCTGAGCACAGGGACAGAAATAAGACCTGAGCATCCCTGGCCATAGTCCTAAAATAAAATAAAACAACACCACCAAAAAAAATATAAAGTCTAGTAATTTTCTCTGTCACTGTCATTTCACTGAAGATTTTCTTGAGGTTTGGTATAATGAATCTTTTTCTTTTGAAAAGTGTCAGCTTTCTCTGGAAATTCATTTCTGGAAATTGTGATGTAGATAAGGGTTCATATAGTGATATCTGTACTATTATGATATTTTCGACCTAAACTCAGTTTCATGGCTAAAAAACTGAGTTTTAATAAGCTCAAATACAGATAGCTAAGCTTCTCTGATCAAATCTGTTAACAGTAAAAGTTTGACTTTTAAATTCAATTTAGAATTTTAATACTTTAATCCTTTGCATTTTAATGCCAAGGATAAAAGACTTAAATATTTGGCTACTGTACATTAAATCATCTTTAGGACACTGTATCTCACAAACTGTCAAAAGACAAACTTGTAATGCTTCCCCACAAGTTTTGTTTTTAGGCCACGCCCAATAGTACTTAGGGATTACTCCTAAAGGACTTAGGAGACCATATGGGGTATGAGGGATTGAACCCAGGTCAGCCATGTGCAAGGCAAGCGTCCTCCCTGCTGTACTATTGCTCTGGTACTGTACAAATAATTTTTGCATGTTTACTTAGCTTATTAGTTTAGAAGGTGCCTTAGCTCTGGACATTTGATGAAGTAACGTTATGGTCGGTTTATGCTGCCATAAAATTTCAGTGTCATGGGCATCAATCATTTAGTTTTTTATTGATCAAGGATTCCCCCCCCCCCACTTGCCACTAAGGCCTAGAGTGCTTGAGCCCATAAATATAACTTGAGGGTCATGGCTCAGCTGGGCAGGGCCAGGCCTCTGTGATGCCAAGAACCAAACTTCCGAGTATAAGGCAGGTACTCCGCCACTTCTGAGCCATGTCCCCAGCACCAACAACTTAATAACTGAAACAATTCACACAATTTGGTATGGAGTGGTTGGAAGTCTGCCTAAAGAAGCAGAAAAGTGTTATGGGCCTGAGCTGTCCTGCTTTCTCCACTTAATTCCTCTCAACATACTCTTTGGTACCCTAATGAAACAAAAAACAAAACAAAACAAAACTCCTAGGAGGTGAATCACACTTAAATGATTCAGCAGGATGGGCTGGAGCACAGTGGGTAGGGTGTTGCTTTCTAAGCAGGTGACATGGGCTTGATCCCTAGCATTCCATATGAGCACCACCAGGAGTACTCCTCAGCACAGAGCCAGGAGTAACCCGTAAGCACTGCCGTATGGTCCAAAAACCAAAGGAAAAACAAAGATTTAGTGGGAAGAAAAAAAAATCTCACAACTGATCACTGATAGAAATCATTTAAAACTGTTTGCCAGTGGAAGTTACCACCACCTCAACCAACTTCCATTATAACATACAGTGAATGTGAAGCAGAAGTAGCAAAGACCAGACCATCACAGGGTCTGTGCACAGGGACACTCACTGCACAGACACTCACTGCACAGGGACACCCACTGCACAGGGACACTCTCTGCACAGACGCTCACTGCACAGACACCCACTGCACAGACACTCACTGCACAGACACTCACTGCACAGGGAAACCCACTGCACAGGGACACTCTCTGCACAGACGCTCACTGCACAGACACCCACTGCACAGGGACACTCACTGCACAGACACTCACTGCACAGACGCCCACTGCACAGAAGACACTGCACAGACACACACTGCACAGGGACACACACTGCACAGACACTCACTGCACAGAAGACACTGCACAGGGACACACACTGCACAAACACTGCACAGGACGCTCACTGCACACTCACTCACTGACAGGGAGGCTCCCTGCATAAGGACACCCACTGCATATAGATGCTCATGTCATAGGGCCGCTCACTGCATGGGGCTTTTCAGAACAGGGACATTCACTGCACAGAGACATACCAGGCAGCCACTGTGCCTCATGGTGGAAGAACCACCGAGACAGATCAGCACTGACATTGCTGCCTTGAAAGCATCATTCCTCTTCCGGGAGGAGAAAGAGTAAGGGGTGGAGATTTGTGCTTACTCCTGGCTCTGTGCTCAGGGACTCCTCCTGGCAGGGCTTGGAAGGTCCAGATGGGAAGCCAGAATCAAACCTGGGTCTAGCAAGCGCTATGCCTGCTGTCCTATCACTCCGGCCCTGAAGTGTCTTTCTTACAGAGCTAGGTAGCCACATAATGAACACCCCATCCTGAGAGCCACGAGGGAGAAAAGATAAGCTGGCAAAGTGGCAGCACGCTCGGGAACAAAGCACCTGTGTCCCACCTACTCAGAATATCCCCACACTGAAAATCATCAGCAGTCACAAACCAGCTTTCACGGATTTATTTTATGAGTGTTCTATTTGCCATTTCTTTAAGTTTTGTCCGAGTAAGCAATATAAAGTAGACCTGTATTTGCCAAAAGGGGCAGATTGGGGTTGAGAGGGAAAATGCGGACACTGGTGGAGGAAAGGTCTCACTGGTGGTGTTGGAACTCTAGCTGATTGGAACTATGTTACGAACAACTTTGTAAGTCATGATATTTTAATAAAATATTTTTAAAAAATCCTCACATTTTCTGAATGAGATTGAGACGTTCCCCTCAATCCCTCGAGCAGGCGCCTCCAGTGGCATTTTCGGACGCAGTCAGTGCACATGACCCCACTGGCATCCCGACTCTCTCCCTCTGTTCTAGAATAGAATGCCTGCACTTACGACATGATATACCTCCGCCTGGGATCCCGCAGATTCTGGGACAAGCAAAGCTGCCCTGCTTCCTTCTCCAACTAAGAGTCAGGCCCCTGTTTGCTGGGGGCCTCACCCCACGGGCCCAGCAGTGTGCCTGGAGGTCACTCCGGGTGGTGGGTGCAGAGCTGGGGTTGGCGAAGGTGGCTTCACTGGAGAAAACCTTCTTGCTGCCGTCCTCGGCTCTCGGCAGAAGGCAGACGAGGCCGAGCGGGCAATTCTCCCATGAGTTAAGAGAATGAGCAACTCAGGAGCACACTGCTGTGTGGGCTGGCTGCCGGCACCCCATTCAACTTACTTCCAGGCTGCCTCTCTTCACCGGGTTCAGCACAAGCAGCTTCTTGAGCAGGTTCTCGCAGTCGGTGGACATGTAGAAGGGGATCCGGTACTTCCCACGCAGGACCCGCTCCCGCAGCTCCTTGGGGAGACAAGAGACAGCAGGTGAGGGCGGTGGCAGGGGCGGGCGCCGGCTGAGACCCGGCAAGAGGCGGGGTGGCCGGTACCTTCAGGTTCTGGCCGTCGAAGGGCAGCGAGCCGCTGACCAGCGTGTAGAGAATGACGCCCAGACTCCACACGTCCACCTCGGGCCCGTCGTACTTCTTGCCTTGGAAAAGTTCGGGTGCGGCGTAGGGCGGGCTCCCGCAAAATGTGTCCAATTTGTTCCCAACTGTGAATTCATTACTAAAACCAAAGTCAGCAATTTTAATATTCATATCAGCATCAAGGAGAAGGTTTTCAGCCTGAGAGGAAAATAATAGAAAGGACAATGTGAAAAGCCCACGTAACAGAGAACACGTGCTCATCACTGTCCCAGACCCCAGCATACATTTTCCTGCCTCTCTCATTCTAAAAACAGAACGTCTGGGGCCAGAGCAATAGAACAGTGGGTAAAAGGCTAAGCCCACCCAGGTTCGATTATTAGCACCTCAATATAGTCCCCCTAGCACTAGCAGAAATGGTCCCTGAGCACAGAGCCCAGAGTCAGCCTAGCACTGCCAGTGTGCCCACACCTCCCCAAACTGGAATAAAAAACAAAACTGAAGAAATAAAAACAGAATGTCACATTAGAAGCCCAGTGTGGCATCAAACTGCATAAGAGCTCTATAAAACGGGACTGATAAAAATTCCATACAAGGAAAACCCTCACTCTCATGCAGAGGGGGAGAGTGGTAAAGAAAAGTCATCTGAAAGCCCTTTTTGCTTCCTCATGGTAAGAAGCACCATGGGATCACAGCCCGCTGTCCGACGGCACTGAACCCCAGTCCCGGGAACCCATGTCCACCTAACGCCCACAGACACAGGGCAGAGCCACAGTGCTCCCAAGGCATCCAGCTCTCACTTAGCATCACTGGCTGATACAAGGCTCAAGGGTTGAATAAAACTCACTGCCAGTCAGGAGCTTCTGTGACTACTGAACTCAAACCTCTGTCCTGCTATATAGGAAGCTTCCTCAATAAAGGCCTGTTCTTCCAGTGAAACAAAACACTATACCAGCTGCTCTGCGCTTCTCCGGTACATGTTCTAACTCGTACCTTCTTCTGAGGTTCACGAGGGTGGCAAGCGGCCTTTCCCGCATACACCCTCCGCCCTGTGCTTTGAGATACTGCTTTTCCCAGACCCTAAATCAGAATCAGGTCAGGAAAAACCTATGAAGCAACCAAGAGAAGTTTTGCCTCTGGAATCCTATTCTGCTGGGCTCACAGACCAGGCTACTCTGCAGATGTTTTATCAGGTTGCGGAAAGGAGCACAATACAAGAAGAACCTCTGACCTCTGGGTATCCCGGGGACATGCTGGGCTCACCAGAGACAGCCTCTCGGTCCGTCACCCAGCAATACCCTCCCCATACTCTCTTCCTTCTCCTCACTCTCCCCTTCATTCTTTAAGCTTGGGAAAATAAAACTGTCCATGCTGAAGATCTATGACATGACGATCTGAGGGACATGCACCCTGGGAAATGACGGGAAAGGAGGTTACCCCCCACTCTCTTCTGGTGACCATCTGAGCAGGCGTGTAGGAGCCATGCAGTTACTCTGGGAGGGAATTCCCAGTACTGGATATGGTGTTATTCACCTCATGAGTGCGACACCAAAATCCCAGGCAACAAAGCCAAAACAAACAAGGAAAACTTCATCCAACTAAACAGCTTCTGCATGGCCAAGGAAACCACCACAAAATGCAACAGCAACCTACCCAACCAGAGAAAATATTTCCATGACCATATATCTTATAAGGGGTTAGTAATCTCCGAAATAGTGAAGGAACTCATATAACCTCATCCAAAAACAAACAAAACAACAGCTCAGTTGAAAAGTGATCAAAACATAGGCCTATTTTATAAAGAAAGCAAGACAGATGGCCAGCAGGGACCGGAACAGGAGATAAACCTCACTCCTGATCACCAGGTGATGTAAGTCCAAGCCTCAGAGAGCCCTCACTCCCCCCTACCAGCCCCCCTGTCACTTTGAATGGCATCATCAAAAACATAAAAAGAAGTGCTGGAGAAGAGAGACCCCTTGGACAGGTTGCTGGGAATGCAAATTGGTATAGATAGTATGGAAAACAGTATTCTAGTTCCTGAAAACAAAACAAACAAAAAACAACTGAAGTTAGACCTAATGGATGATCCAGAAACTCTATTTCTGGGTATAGACGCAAAAGAATTACCCAAGAGAGGTGTTTATAGTCCATGTCATTGCCACAAACATTTTCTTGTTCTAGAGTACACTCCCAATGTATAATTCCCAATGGTTTGGTCTTTATGAAAACACTGACATGCTTCCATTAGTTCTTATTGCTTGGATGTAAAGAATAAGCACTGCTCTTCCTCAGACAGACACTGATTTGTACTCTGATCTTACTTCTGCCTGAACAGGACATCTCAGGGATTTAGTCTGGGTCAAAAGTTTCACATCCGTCTACTAAAACAAGGCTCTTAACAAAAGTGAACCAAGTTCTCTCATCTCGAACACAACCTCTCATTCATACTTTCTTAGTGAAAAAAATTCTTTCTACGAAGTTGTTATGAGAATGAAATACAAACTAATTTTCTTGTGGAGTGCCTGGTACAATTAGGCAACCATAAAGTCAGTTCTAGCACTGTCAAATATCTCTAACTCATCAAGAATGTTTTGTCTAAAACGAGTGGCTTACCTTAAGATCTCGATGAACAATGCACTTTTGATGACAATACTGCACAGCAGACACAATCTGAAATAAATGTTGGAATAGAAGATTCCAAATTATTTTACAGTAAAACATAACTCCCCCCAATTATCACCTCTATCAGATAAACTACTAACTTGTCTTCCAAAAGTATACTTAGTTACTTCAGAAAATCAAGTATTAAAGCAATGCAACTTTTAAACTCTCAAAGAAGTGATGTAACTTTTTACTCTCAAGTGTGGGAAAATTGTATGTATTATCTTGCAAAAAAAAAAGACACAGCAAAGTATTTCTTTATCGGGGTCCATGAAAATTTTTATGGGTAATTAGATTTCTTCATTTATATAATCAAATAGGTATAAATTTGGACTAAAGTCAAATGATTTATTCCAGTGTTGGGGTGAAAGTTTTGGCACACATGAATTAGTATTCCAAGAGGGCTGGTCCAAGTTTGAAGAGCATGTCTATTTTAGGGGTACTTTCAAATGTGTTTAAGGCAGGCTTCTTCAGTGAGGCCAATCTACTAAGAACTTATCAAGTGAAGTATTTACAACATCTTAGGTTTGTTTGTTCACATGGAAAGAGGCAAGATAATCTTTGAGCCTTAAAAAATAAACCCAATTATGAAAAGAGGGAAAATGAAATTTTAGCTTGAACCTTTCTCTAATCCATCTGGACAAAATATTCACTCCATATGAAGACTGTACATTTGTCTGTGTTCATAGCTTTGTGGGTGAATAGGGAAGAGTCCAGCAGTTCAAGAAATAAAGCAGAAATAATCCTGTGATCATTTATCTCTTACACAAAGTTCAGAAGGGGAGAATCTGGTGGCAATTAAGTGCGAGCTACTTGGTAGAGAGAGTCCAATCTGCCGGACAGGAGGAAGTCCCCTGGGAGCACCACAGAACACCCAGATCTGTGACCCGACATCAGCTAGACTGAACACTGAATGCCGGCTAGGCATGCACGACTAGCAGTGGAGATGAAGACTTTTGAAAATGCAGAGGTAACGTGATGGATGATCATGCTAACAGAAAAATATGGCGGTTCCGGTTCCAAAAAAAAAAAAAAAAGAACAAAGTAGTAGATGGTAAAACTGAGAGCTGAGTCCTACAGAATTACCCTAATGACTACTAAAACGGTTCAAAGACGGAGCAAAGCATGAGTAGAAAACAAAATGAACACACAATGAGTTGGATGGAATTCCTTTTCCATTCATTCGGATTCCACAGTCGGTTTATTGAGTACCTGTTATGTGAGAAGGCAGAGCATATGCTAGCTGCCAGGGTGGGGGAGCAAAGTTGCACATCAGGCAGGCCTTGGGACTGCTAGGAGAAAACCCAGGCAGGGATCCCGGAGGAGGGGGTACAGAGAAGTAAGAAAGAATGTCTATTCAGAGATGCTTCCTGGAGCAGGTGGTGTCTGATCCCTGCCACCCTGAACGGAGGGCAGTGTTTGGGAATGTGGGGCGTGGTAGTGTGTGGGGAGGTTGGACCGGGGTGAGGCCACGCCACGTGCTTGAGATGTTAGTGGGGAAAGCACAGCACAGGGGTTAAGTCTTGAGGGACAGGGCAGCAGAGGTCTCTGGATTTCAGCCCCAACACAGGCAGCGTGTGGAGACACTGGTGTTTCTGAGTGGAGTGTGGAAGACTGTGATCACATGGGCGTCCAAGTCCTCCAAATGTGGCTGACTCTTCCCGTCAGATATTTGTTGGATTCGTCGTAAAGAATAAGCTTCAAAATGTGACTTATCTACTTCCCACAAAAACATGCCATTACCCACGTGATGGACACATTTCTGGGCAGGTAGGATACATTTAAGAATCACGCTGTGCGGGCTTGGGAAAGCTTGGGGAGGCCCGTCACGCAGGCTCTGTGTCTGGAAGGCAGAAATGTGCTGAGAAGGCTGGTTCTCGTGGTCTTTTCCCCAAGACATCTTTCCATGACAGCGAAGAAGGTGTGTCACAGACACTGATTTGGTTACCAAATGTGGACTTCACATTGGACAGAAAGGTCTCTAAGAAGACAGTCCCACAGGCACTGCTGTAATGAAAATCTCCTGAGCCACAGGAACGGGCAGATACCTAAACAGGGCAGCTGTGGATCCAGTTTCCATCTCCTCAGCTGACTGTGGTCTCCAGCGTTCAGCATGGCAGCCCGCAACAGGCCCACATGCGTCTGATGGGGCACAACTTCTGCTGGCGTCTGACCAAGCATCTCCATCCACAGCCCTAGCGTTCACATTCTTCCGGGGCCACACTCTCTCCTCTCAAAACATTTGGGATCCTGTGAATATGACACAGGGACCTTGCAGTGTTCCTTCTACTCTAGATCTTTAAAACACGATCACATGCTTAGCCCTGTACGGACTCTAAGACCAGGCTTGGCTGTGTTCCACCGAACAGGTGCAGCAGCTGGGGTTGTCTTGTGAATTCTTGGAGTGGATCAGGAATTCCCATGCCTTAAGCAATCCAACAGTGGGAGAGGGGAATCTATGCCAGGATTTTCCTGAAGGTTCTCAAATATGAAGGTAAGAAGCAGTATCTGATCCCTAGCTGCAGAAGTGACCTCAGACTGGTCAATGGGCCCAGCTAGTCAAAGGCACTGCTAAGGCCTTAGACAGCATATCCTGGCTACAGAGTCTCTGCCATCCCTAATCATATTTTGAAAAGTAGTATCATTAAATATAGAGAAAAATGTAAATTTTTCAAATCATTAAAATTATAAAGAAAAATAAGCTCCTTAAAAATAAATTAAAAAATACCTTGTCAAATAACTACAAAATTTTGTTCATGTATGCATAGTGTATCTCTGCTTTTTAAAAATGGGAGTTAGTGTCCAAATTCTGGGGAAATAGATATACATGGTAAATACATCTAATGTCTGTAATAACTGAGAAATTATAAAGAAAATATTTCCTGGGGCTAGAGCAATAGTACAGTGGGTAGGGCATTTGCCTTGCACATAGCCGACCTGGGTTCAATTCCCAGCATCCCATATAGTCCCCCGAGCACTGCCAGGAGTAATTCCTGAGTGCAGAGCCAGGAGTAATCCCTGAACATCACCAAGTGTGACCCCCCCACTAAAAAAAAAAAAGAAAAAAAAAGAAAATATTTCCCTCTATTTTAAATTTCAATGGCACTCATTTAAACAGCCTTCGTAACTTGAGGCAAAGGAGTGTATTTCAAAATAACCCAGGTTTTGCTTCTTGACTTTATACAAAAGGTAGTAAGGCAAAAAATGTGTGAGGGCCTGGGTTTGATATCTCTCTATCACACACACACACACACACACACACACACACACACACACACATATACACACACACACACGTGCGCCAAGCAGTAATTATCTGCTCTTTATAAATACGTCTATCTCCCAGTCTCTGAGCCTAACCCCACCCACCATGAAAGATGAGCGAACTTTTTCAAATAGCCAGTACTTCATCTTCTGTAAAGTACCCAGGACAATTTTGCAGACATGGTTGTTTTCAGTAAATAAAGAAAACCAGCTGTCAAAGAAAGAATGAGTAGTAATAATGCACTTAAATATTTAAAACATACACTAAATGCATATTTACGTCAATGCACATTTTTAAATGCACTTATATTAAAGTTATTTTAAAGTATTAAAAATGTATATAAATTCCCCATGGGTATTTCATGTCAACTGTAATTTTCTTGCTGGTAAGTAAAGCTTCGGTGACTGAGTCCGAAATATCTGTGATATTTAAGCTGGTGACTCCCAGAGGGGTGGGGCGCCTGGAGGTCATGCCAGAATGAGAGAACGCAGCAGAACGTGGCTGCACATTTCCATTTCTTAGCACTGCTCCCTCTTTCCTGCAGTCTTTAGATTCCGTTATCTGAAGAAGGATCCAGAAACCTGTCCTAAGGAAAAGGGCTTTACATGTCTTTGGTGTAGAATATTTTGCAGTATGTGTTCCAGAAAGTAAAAATTCCATGAGATATTAATAGTGAGGTATCACAAACCAGCTTACTCGGGGGCCCACTTGGAGGACGTGTCATAACGCACTGACCTAGCTCTGCTCGCCTCTCCTTCCAGATTCTCCGACAGTCCTTGCATTTAAATGTGTAAGTGTGTGTTGGGGAAGATCTTGTATCAGTATTACATGTTTTCCAAACGTGCTGACTACAGAACACCTTTACTTGTAAAACCAAGGTTCATGCTTATAGAGGAGTCATTTTAAGCTTTAAATGAAATATTTGTAATTACTGAGATAAAAGTTTTGGATACAGTGCTTGCTTCGGCAGCACATTTACTAAAACAGTTTGGGATGCAGTATGTTGTCTGCTGAAAACACAAATATGTTTCTTGAACAATTTAAAATTCATCCATTGGTCAGTTCTGCAGTTATTTGTAAATATAAGTGTAAATGTGTTCAATTTTTGGCCAGTGGCAAGGGACCCTCATGAGAGTTGGTCACAGAACTCAGTTCTCACACAGTGGGCTTGGACTGGGGGATAAGTTATGGCCCTGGAGACTTGGTGGAGAAGGGCTGGCAGTCTGGCGGGGGGTTTGGTGTTGGAGCTTTATCTCCCCAAACTCTATTATTGGTAGCACTGTAGAGCACAGCCCACAAATTAAAAAAAAATGTTTTAAAAAATTATGTTCATTTTGGTCACTTCATTCTTAAAGGTTAAAAATAAAATCCTAGATGAACTTAGATTACTTTTCCTATTTTATCATTTCTGTAATAAATCTTATGCACAGTGATGGCTTATTATTATCAAAATCTTCTACTATATTTGCCTACTTGATTAAACTGAACATAGCCTTTAAGTCTACAAAAATACAAGTTTTAACACAAAGATACCTTTAATAATAGGGGAATAATCCAATATTTTTTTAAAGAGCATATGTATATACTGTATACAAAAAGCTTGATAATAGGTAGTAAATAAAGGAGTATTTCTTTTCTATCTTGGTCTAATCTGTGTTTCCAAGACTACCAGGTGAGACTATAAATATGTCATTATTTAGAAATAACCATTTCAATTATGTTATATTTAAATTCAAAAAGATTTCTTGTTTGGTTATCTAATCTAAAAAAAGCATAAGAAAGTCGGAATTTCTCTTTTCAAATATCATGTTTTTTGAAGTCTAGTTTGTGATACTATCCATTGCACATCACTAAAAACACCAGCAAAGCAAAGTTGAAAACTACTTTCCATACCTGCCTAAATTTTGCACGGGCCTCTTTTTCTTTCATTCTTCCATGGGCAACTAAGTAATCAAATACTTCACCTGAATCAGAAAGGCAGAGCAGGCAGTAAAATATACATTGATTTTCACAGAACAGTAACGCAATGTCTAGTTTTGGCCTTGTTTTTAAAGACGCTTTCGGCCCACATTTGTTTGATAGCGCTATGTCAATCACAAACTATTACAGGAAAAAAGGGGAAAAAAAACACATGTAGAATTGAGTATCCTCAGCAGCTTACAATTTTGCAAAACTCTTTTAAAAGTCATTAAAACATAACCAAGAAAATTTGCTTTCTGCTTTCCAGTATTATGCAAAAATACAGTCAACTCTTTATTATCCATTCTCATAAAGGGCAGCCACAGCATGGACAATGCAAGGTGATATGGGGCTTTGTATTGGGGCCTATAGAGACAAAGGTCTGATTAAACTCCACTTGTTAGGCTGCCTCGGTCAAATTCCTTCTCACTGGCCCTGTCCACACTGGTGTCTTCCTTTTCCTTCGTACACTCCCCATGCTTGAGTTCACAACACCCAGGCCATCTGCTTTGGTCTGACCCTCTCCTACGGCATTCACTTTACACAGTATATGCATCTCCACCTTCTCCGCTCAAATGAATGGCAAACCACTGAACATCCAAATCACAGGTGCATCCCCAATGCCATGAGACAGAACAGAAGCTGGAGACACAATACATATTTCTTGAAACAGCTGAAACAGAACTAGTGAACTAGAAACTTAGAAGTTCCCTTAGAGCCATTTATACATCTAACTTTAAAATTTTTTGTCTAGTCATAGTGAAAAAACTAATGTTTAGCTACAATAGAAAACATATCTCAGGGCAAGGGAGGAATTCATTTGTTCCATCTTTAGAATTTGCAACATATAAATATACATGTACATTAAAAACACACACAAAAAAAGGAGTTCATGCAAAGTGGCTAAGCACTCAGGCTTTAGAATCAAACCAATTGAAGTGTGAATCCTGGTTTAGCCCCAAGGAGCTACTGAGACACAGGATGATTTCTTAACTTCAGGAAGACTTATTTTCTATCCTTCGCCAATCTCATATGGGCATTGTGAGGATTTCATGAGATAATGCATGTGCTTAGCACAGTGACTGACGTATATAAAGCACTCAATAAATTATATATTTGTATCTAGCATACAGATATATGACATAGACACATATGAAGTATCAATCCTGAGATAAGTGAAATGTGAAAAATCAAATATGCAGAGATGTATGTCAGATGGAACTAGAACAGCTACAATGTTGGACAATACACGCAATCAAGCACACTTAACAGAGAAAATGGGATGACGGAAAACAGAAATGAATGGATGCTCTAGTTGCTCTCCTAGCAATTCATTCTCGATATGTGTGTTGGGACTAGGAGAGACGCATACAAAATTAACGAATGTGGGCTACTCTTAAACTCTGCCTGGACCACTCAAAGTTTAGCCGTTACATGGTACGTTCCTTCACTTAGACTGTTTGCTTAGGATTTGCTTCCCCAACTAGAATGCAATTTGCTTGTGGGCAAGGACCTGGTCTTTGAACATCACCCAATACAGTTTGCATAAACAAGGGAAGAAATAAGGAAAAAAGCAGCCCAGGTGCTTCTTTTAATAGCTCTTGGCACTAACTGTAGTTCTAAAAGCGTAAAAACTTTACTTGCCTACCTGATCACTGAACATCAAAAGATGTTCAGTGCCGTAAGTGGACCTGAATCAACCATCCAAGAGGGAGGTGATGAACTTAGCTCTTGTCTATACTAGACTTCTAAGTGAGTGTGTCGGACAGATTCAAGTCTAAAGTAGCACTATAGCACTGTCCTCTGGTTGTTCATTGATTTGTTCAAGTGGGCACCACTAACATCTCCATTGTGAGACTTGTTACTGTTTTTGGCATATCAAATACCCCATAGGGAGCTTGCCAGGCTCTGCTGTGCGGGCAGGATACTTTCGGTAGTTTGCTGGGATTCCCTGAGAGGGATGGAGGAATCAAACCCGGGTTGGCTGTGCTTGCAAGGCAAACACCCTACCCGCTGTGCTGTTGCTCCAGCCCCAAGTCTAAAGTAGCTAGAAATAATCTTCTGAGGGAAAACAGGAAGATTTTTGGTTTCCTGACATTGCTACATGAAGAGTCAAGAGAAATGATTCCAAATCTGCTGCTAGAGAACCAAGGTGGTTCTGTTACAGGATCGCTGATGAGCAGATAACAGATCCACAGAAAACCTATCAGGGGGCATCAGAATGAATGAAGGGTCATGTGGTCTGGGCTGAATGCCAGCCAAGTGCCTCTAGAGACACTGCCCTCCGGGTTCTGTCGGGGGGAAAGCAGGGCAACTGTTCCCGACTGCCGTGGCGGGCTCTCCCCTCCACAGCACCAATAGAGAGTTGACTGTACTTACCATTCATGGTTAAAACAGAGTGCAGAGTAATGTCAACACAGCCTTTGGTGAACCTTCCTAAAAATAGAACCATGTCCACAGACTTCCAGCAGCCTAAAAATTGTCATATCAAAGCCTGTCTGGCCCCTTTCTCTAGACTTTAGCTCACCAAAAGGAAAAAAAAAATAAGAGTCTAACGGAACTAAAAATAATACTCAGGGTTCCCACGCTGACAAACAGCTACATAAACCCAATGAAAGAATTAAAATGAAGAAATAGGTCATGATGCAATATTTTTAGGTTCAGTAATGTTCTTACACACCTACATTTCATGCGGATTTGCATGGATATATTAATATTTTTTAAAATCTTATAATAATAAGCATCAACAATGTAGGCAAGCTTTTAAATTAAGTTAGAAAAATACTATATTTAGATGGTTTCAGGATACCCAGGGCTTTGCAGGGCCTGAAAGATAGTACAGGGGTCCAGGTGCTTGCTCTCAACAGCGCTGCATGTATCCACCTGAGCATTCCCAGGAGTGATTCTTGAGCACAGAGCTCAGAGTAAGCCCAAACACTGCTGCTCATGGTTCCAAAATGCAGACAAACAAACAAAAAAGGATGAGTGGGGGTGTAAAATTTTAAGTTACTGAAAATTTGAATCTGGATAAAACTAAAAGAGCAAAGCATATAATATTTGTAGCAAAAAAAATTTTAGAACAGTAAAAACAGCATAAAACATACAGATGGGATGCTAGAGACGGAATTAAATCTTTTACGTTCTACATAAAACTTTACTTACATAAAAATATATAGTTTTATTAGCTGAAAGGACTCAACACTACATTCAACACCAAATTTTTCTGTTGAGTAGCAAAACAACTAAATTCAGGCAAAAGAGACAGTACAGTGGGAAGGGGTTTGCCTTACACATAGCTGACCTGGGTTGGATCCCCGGTGCCCCAATATGGTCCCCCAAGCACCACCAGCAGTGATCCCTGAGCACTGACAGGAATGGACCCAAAATAAAACAATTCTGGGGGTAGCCCCAAAGCAGCAACAACAAAACCAAAATCAATCAAGATGGTTTCAATCATTTCAGCTGCCTTCACTCTCCTGCAACTGTTTCATTTTTCTCAGTCTTGAAAACCTTCATGTTTCCTCTCCTTATTTATTCTATTTTAATTCACATATTTAAAATTTCTGAGAAAGTTAAGTCCCATCATGAAAGAATATTATTTTGGTAAAAATAGCTCTCAATTTGAGGGCCAGGACAGGAGGAGAAAAGATGTTTTATTAATTATCAGTGAATAAAATGAACATACATTTAAAAAATTTTAATCAACAGAAAGTAATTCCTATTATTGACAATATGTAGTCAAATATCCTGCTATTTCTCTATCAGCTACGTCTTATAACTTATACAACATCTTTATATATCTATATGTGTTCAAGTGGGAAGTTTATGAGTTACCATATGTATGATATATATATACATATATACACATACGCTGAGTTTTTGCCATATCTATGAACAATGAATAAAACAAATATCTGACCTTGAACACTTTTCCTATTGGCTTTAATTCATTATGAAATTGAGATTTCCTGCTTACAGCTAAGAGCATTTAATCATCATAATAGGACATTTACATAAGAGAATTTGGAAGTCCACAGATAACAATGCAATCTAGTGTTTTGAAAAAATAGCTCCAAGTAATTTTTTTCACAAATGAAACATTCCAACTTTTAAATGTTGGCTAAATAACTCTTGAAAGCAAACAAGAATTTTTCTTATGATGTCATTTAAAGGCATTCTTAGAAGATGACAGATTCATTAACAATCACACCAGAATGTTAAAAGGAGCCGTTAGCTGTGGATTCTGCGTTGTATCTTGGGCCCTCATCCTTACCCCCGCTTGCGTACTCCATGACTAAATACAGAGTCTTCTCCGTTTCAATCACTTCAAATAATTTTACTGAAAAAGAAATCAGAGACAGGACACTGTCATTGTTTTCACATTGAACAGGTTTTAAGAAAATTATATTCTGCTTAATTTTCTTAATAGTGGAAACTTTCTTAATAGTGAAAAACTAAGCCTTTAATAAAAATTAATTAGAATTTCAATTTGCCAATTCTCTGAAGGGTTATTACTGCAACGGAAGAAAGCTACTTACCACAAAGTGATTTGAAACCAACTATTAGGTAAAAAGGGAGCTAAGGTAAAAAATTACTATCAACTCATCATGATTTCTAATTAGAATAAGGTATTAAAAAAGGAAAATTTAAATAAGAATATTTGACTGAGGCTTAAAAAAAGAGCATATACTAAGAAATATATGAGCAAGTGTTAAACAATTTTGTGCAGAAACAAAATGTTAACAAAAATCGAATGTATTTTTTTTTAAAAATCTACTGTTACAAGATTATGCAGCTGAAATTATACACCATAAGAAGTTACAATATATCTCTAATAAAATTGAGATTTTAAATGAGGTAGGAAGAAGTGTTTAATAAATAGAAATTAAAAGGAAAAAATCTATTCTCAGAATCCAATGACTGTGAAAATATGTGACCACTAAATTTACTTTAAACATGGGAACAGGGGGAAAGAACTGGAATTTAGGGAAATCAAGTCTCTTAATGTGAAAATAAATTCTTTAAAACTTATTTTCCTATTAACTATGATCAAACCCAAGTGAATATTATTTAAATGACCTGAAATCCATTTTTTATAAATACCTAAGTAGAGTGCAATCTCCATTTGGAGAGAATTTATAAGGAAGGAAAGAACATTCAAAGTTGGTAAGTAAAAGTAAGTAAGTAAGTAAAGGCCCTCCCATTGATCATCAATTTGCTCGAGCGGGCCCAGTAACGTCTCCATTGGAGACTTTGTTGTTACTGTGTTTGGCATATCGAATACGTCACGGGGAGCTTGCCAGGCGCAGTAGGCAGCGCGTCAGTCTCAAAGTTGGTATTGGACAGAAAACAGCAAGCAATGAGCAAAACAGTGGCCTGCTGACTTCCAGTAACTTCTTTTTATTTTGGGGTCACACCTGGTGCTGCTCAGGGCAGACTTCTGGCTCTGCACTCAGGGATCACTCCTGGCAGGGCTGGGGAACCGTATGGGATGCCACAGAGCGAACCTGGATCAGCCACGTGCAAGGCAAGCGTCCTACCCTCTGTGCTCTCTCTCCAGTCCCTCCAGTAACTTCTTTATCATCTCTTTTCAGTCCAAGTACATGATTCTTTTCAGGTCATTAATGATGCCCCCCTGCCCCAAAATACAAAATATCTTTAAAATTGAATCTTTTCAAATAGGTTCAATTAAAGGAAATATTTCATCATCAATTGTATATAGAAAACACATACCTATGTTAGGATGATTTAATATCTTCATTATTCGTACTTCTCGAAACAACTATTAAAGGAAACAGATATTTCTGTTACAAGAAGAAGGTTCAAGCAGTTAACCAGCCAAAACATCATTTGAAAGAAAACCATCTGCTCACAAGACACTACAGGACCCTGGGAATGTACTAGGGGGTCTTATTCCTAGGACTGTTTGACTAGACAGCAAGAAGGTGCTGTGTGGGAGGAGACAGCGCAGACAGTCAATCTGCATCACATGACACTTCTTTTTTAGGAAATAAGAGACAAATAATGGTGGCAGATGAAGCCAAATGCCCAACAGATCATTCTGCTGTTGTTTGGGTCACACACAGCAATGCTCAAGGGTTACTCCTGGCTCTGTGCTCAGGGATTACTTCTGGTGGTGCTCAGGGACCACATAGGGTGTCAAGGACCAAACCCAGGTCGGCTGCATGCAAGACAAGAGTCCAACCCACTGTACTATCTCTCCAGCCCCCACAAGATTTTTTTAAAAATCCAAGATGTATATAAATTTATGAAATATGAATGATATAAACAGTTTCAACATTATTCAAATTTTAAATCACGGTCATCACGGTCCTCCCGTTGTTCATCGATTTGCTCAAGCGGGCCCAGTAACGTCTCCATCATGAGACTTGTTACTGTGTTTGGCATATCGAGTACGTCACGGGTAGCTTGCCAGGCTCTGCCATGCGGGCGAGATACTCTCGGTAGCTTGCCAGGCTCTCCGAGAGGGGCAAATTTTAAATATAATTTGAAATCTTCTTTACATTTAAAGGGGAATTGGATGACAGCTGAAGATAATAAAAATATATTTGCTATTATTATACTTTATATATTAACAAACCAAAATGAGTATGTCACTTCAAATATGAATGCCAACACTTCCCATCATTTCATTTACTTTTAAAATGCCATAAGGCCCATTTTTCAAAACCATGATTTGTTTCCCCCCACCCACCCCCATATTGTTTCTGAGTATTATTAGACTAAGAGATTAGAAAAACCAGCAACTGGAGTGACTCAAATCACCAAATGAGCAAAATGTAAAATCAGTGCTTCTAGAATGAACATTTTTCTGAGGAAGCTCATCCAATGGCCAAATGGCCGCTGAAGAAGAGACTTGATATCATAAATCACCAGCAAATGTGAATCAAGACCAAAAGTGACAGAATATTTCCATTTGCTTCAGATAAATACCCAGAGGGGAACTGATGGATCACACAGCAGTTCTTTGAATTTTGGAATTTTGTTTTTAGGGTTTGGCCATACCTTGCCATACTCAGGGACTCTTCCTGGTGCTGTGTTCAGGAGTGACCCCCTGGTTGTATCCGGGGGGCCACATGCAGTACGAGAGACCAAATATGGAGCCAGGGTCAGCTGCATGCCAGACAAATGCCTGAGTCCCTGTACTATCTCTCAGGCCATGCTACTTTTGATTTTTGGCGAAAATTTTTTACACAGTTTTTCCGTAGTGGTGGCTCCAATCTACACCTCACTAACATGTTACTAGGGTTCCCTTTTCTTTACACCCTCACAGTATTTTAATAATGGCCATTCTAATAGGCATAAAATTTTGATTTGCATGTCACTGATGACTAGAGAGGTTGGGAATCTGTTCCAGTACTTGTTGGCTGAATGTCTTCTCTGTGTATTGTGGGAAAATATCTATTCAGATCTGACTGGGTCATCAGATATTTCTGCTATGGGTTACAATGTGTTCTTTATGTATTATGTTTAGTAATTCCTTATCAGATACATGATTTGAGGATATTTTTCTTTTTCTTTTTCTTTTTTTTGTGTGTGGAGTACATACCCGACAGTGCTCAGGGCTTACTCTTGGCTCTGCACTCAGGGATCACTCCTGGCAGTCGGTGCTCTTGGGACCTTTGAGGTGCTGGGAATTGAACCCAGGCCAACTGCGTGCAAGGCAAGCACCTTACCTGCTTCACTATAGTTCTAGTCCTGATTTAAGAATGCTTTCTACCAATCAGCAGCTACCTTTTTAGAATGTTTACAAATTCTTTTACAATTTACAATACATAGCTGTTTTTAATTGGCTGTAATCCAAGAGATCAATTTTTGCTTTTGTTGCCTTTGTTTTTAGAGTCAGACCTCCATCCCCCACCCCCAAATCATCAGAATGATGACAAGAACACTGTCAACTAAGTTTTCTTCTGGGATTTTTACAGTTCTGGGTCTTGTTCAAGTCTTTAGCCCACTTGTTCATTTCTTTGTACATGTGAGAGAGAGGGTCCCTGCCACTCTACGTGTGACTCAGTTTGGTTCTCCCAGCACCACACTCAAGACTGAGATTATCCTTTCACAACCATATGCTATTTTTTTTTTTGGTCTTTACGTTGTGACTAATTGGATTAACCTTTATTTTTTAAGATTTTTAAAAAATGGAATCACTGTGAGATAGACTTTTACAAATCTGTTCATGATTAGGTTTCAGTCATACAGTGTTCCAACGCCCATCCTTCCACCACCATACATTTTTCAGCATCAGTGTCCCCAGCTTCCCTCCCATCATCCCAACCTTCCCCCCCGCCAAAGCCTGCCTCTATGGCAGGCACTTTCTCTCTCTCTCTCTCTCTCTCTCTCTCTCTCTCTCTCTCTCTCTCTCTCTCTCTCTCTCTCCTTCCCTCTCCTCTGTCTCTCTGACCTTTTAACACTCAATTCTTGTGATCATTTTCAACTATTATTGGCATACTGGCCCCTTTTCTATCTTATATCCCCTTCACCACACACACTTGTGGTAGATTCCAACCATTGACCTGTCCTCCTAGCCCCTGTTTTCCCTGGCCTTGGATATTAGTCTTCACTATATATACTTTTATATACCACAAATGAATGCAGTCATTCTATATCTCTCCCTCTCCTTCTGACTCATTTCACTCAGCATGATGCTCTCCATGCTCATCCATTTATAGGCAAATTTCATGACGTCATTTTCCCTAACAGCTGTGTAGTATTCCATTATGTAGACGTGCCATAGTTTCTTTATTCAATCATCTGTTCTTGGGCATTCAGGTTGTTTCTAGAGTCTGGCTATGGTAAATGGTGTTGCAATGAACACAGGAGTGCAGATGGTGTTTCTGCTGTGTGTTTTGGGGCTCCAGGGTATATTCCCAGAAGTGGTATTGTTGGATCAAATGGAAGCTCAATTTCTTGTATTTTGAGGAATGTCCACATTGTTTTCCACAACTATATACTCTTGACTCCTCTGCCATCAGCTTGACACGTGGGGTTGTTTCTGGGCTTGCAATCAATTCTGCTGATCATGCATCCAGTTTTTGTTTTTGGTGGTTTTTTTTTTTTTTTGGTTTTAGGTAAACACAGGCAGTGCTCAGGGCTCACTCCTGGAGATGCTCCGAGGACCAGTCTGATGCATCTGTTTATGCCAATATCAAAGTTATTACTATAACTATAACTTTGTACACTACAGTTTGGAACCAGTGTGGTCAATGCCTGCAGTTTTGTTTCTCTCAAGACTGTTTTGGGTGTCCACTGAGGTTTTCTGTAGTTCCACAGAGAGTTTAAAGTTGATTGTGTAGTTCCTGTAAAAGAGACCACGGGGCACTGAGATTCTGCTAAGAATCCTGGTGCATCCACAGAGGTCTTGACTGTGCCAGCAGTATCAGTTAGTCTAACCCACAGGATGTTGGTTTTGTTTTCACTTTCTTCCAACAGTGTCTGACTGTTTTCACTGTTTGTGTTTCACCTTCTCAGATTTGTTCCAGACTGTTCATTCTCTTGCTGTGACTGTAAACAGTGGATGGTTTCTTCCTCCTTCCCGCACTCCTCCCTTCATTGCTGTGATGACAACGAGGGTCGTGCACGTACTGCGCTGCACTCGCTGCCGCTACACTTGGCCATGGTGCTCTCTGGGCGGGCGCTCAGGGCTGTGCCAGCACGAGGCCTGCCTGTGGGGTTGGCAGGGGGCGCGGTGCTGCCACATATCTTTTATTTACGATGCGTGCCAGGGGTGGCACGTGGGTGCTGAAGCGCCCACCCTGTACGATACCAGATGGCAAAGCCATGGGGACCTCAAACAGGTACACGGGTGGTTTGGGGAGTCAAGCTCGTGCCCTCATGCTGGTTGGCAGGTGCTTCTGCCCCCAGAGCTGGGTCCCTGGTGGGGCTGCTTGCTCGGTCTCTCCTTCCAGCAACTTGTTTTCAGGGTATAGGAAAGTAGCAGAATTTGGCCTCTTCACTTCTGTATCCTATAATTTTACCGAGCTTGCAGACTAGATCCAAGGATGATTTGGGGCAGAGTTTAGGGATGTCTCCACAGTACTACATCTAAAAAGAGAGAGAGCTTTACTTTACTTCCTCTTCTGGAGGGAGGTGTTTCTATATTGTGCTCAGGAGACTTGGGGCCACTCCTAGTCAAACTTGGTCCAGCTCTTCAGGTTTGACAGTTCAGTGCTCAGGCCCGGCAAGGCAGTGCTGCTGGGGGCCACCTGGCTCACATCCAGTGCTCAAGGGTCCAGAAACTATTGGGGATCAACCTTGGAGCCTCACCCTGGTGGAGTTCAGGTCTGTCTTAGTTCTCTATGATTCCATCCCAGAAAACTGTGCGAACCGAGGAATGCAGCCATTTCTTCTGAGTTTCCAATTTCTTGCCATGCCTCTGCTTGAATCTTGCTTTCTTATTCACAGTGTTAAGTTGTTGGGGGTGTCTGTAAAAGCCACAACTTGCAAGCACTACTGGATGGGGCAGCTTCGTATCAATCTCCAGTTCATTGCCAGGCCAAACCCAAGACTGGCATCTGAATGCCTCCAACGCACAGAACCACAGTGTTCTTTCCCTGAAGGATTCCTCCAAAACACAGAACACTTGTCAGAAGCCCCAAACATGAAAGTTTGTAACTATCTCACAGGGATTCAATAAAATTAAAAAAAAAAAACCTTGTCAGAAGTGTTCTAGGGCCTACACCTGTCAGCATTGTTACTGCAGATAAGAAATCTGAAGCTGGTTTTCTCTGGCCAAAGAACAAACCACCAAGGTCTATTAGCCTA